GTGCTGCAGGGAGCGGGGGGCTCAGCAGGGGTCTGTACAAAAACTAACCCATCACCCTTCTCCCAGAGTCCACCCAAAATGTACCCAAGGTGAAAGTCCTCTACTCCTGCAACACCAAGCCAGGCGCTGTCGAGCTGGTGTGCTTCATCTCTGGCTTCTACCCCGAGACTTTGACGGTGGAATGGCTGGTGGACGGCCAGCCCGGGGAACTAAAGGGTGACACTGAGCCTCCCAAGAAGGACGCCGACGGCCGCACCTTCAGCACCCGCAGCAATGCCAGTGTCTCCCAGAGCAAGTGGCTGGAGGGCAAGAAGTACACCTGCCAGGTGTCCCACCCAGACACCGGCACCAAAAAGCAGGGCCACGCCAGCAAGTGCGAAGGTGAAGCTCACCGGCGCTAGGCTCCCTACGAAGAGGAGGGGCAGTGGCGGATTCAGAGTTAGTGGGGCCCTGTGATCAGCTTCATTTTTGGGGGCCCCCTTGGGGCCCAGCCAAGAAAAAGAACATTCTCTCTTATCTGCCCCCGCCCCTGTTTTTCATTCTTGTTTTCTTTATCCTCCTCCTGTAAGTAATAGCAAATAAATGAAAATAAAGTGAGGTACCTTGATAGTTCTTGTAGTCGAACTTATTTTTCCACAGACCACTTGAAAATTGCTGGGGGTCTCGGTGGACACTTAATGATCTTTCCAAACATTGTCTGTACTGTTAGCTAACTATTGTAAAGCGCTTTCGATAAGAGCACTTTATAAAAATAATGTAAAGAAACATTGGGGTGCAGGGTCTGGCCAGGAGTTAGGGTGCAGGAGGGGGCTCAGGGTTGGGGCAGGAGTTTGGGCGATTACCTGGGGCAGCTCCATTTGGCGCGAGGGGTGGAGGTGGGAATGAGGGGTTGCATGAGCTCCCATTTGGTGCTCAGGGTGGGAGGATCTGGGGGGGGTGCAGGAGTCAGGGCAGGGGGCTGGGGGTCTGTGTGGGGTGCAGGAGTCAGGGCAGGAAGCTGGGGTCGTGGAGGGGCTCCCAGCCCCAGCCCTACCCCAGCCCCCTACCCTGAGCGGCTCACGGCAGGGGGCTTGGTGGGG